AGTGGGGGCCCCACTCTTCTCTCTGGCTGCCTCAGCCTTTTAAGCCCTGGGCTGAGGCTGAGCGGCCCTAGCTAAAAGGAGACATGTTGGGTGTGTCCATTTGGTTGAGCTAACCAGTGTGGCGTAAACCCATCCAGCTGCGCATTATTCCAATAGCAGTTAGCTTAAGGGCTAAGACTAGACGAAATAGAACGTTGGTTACGTATTGTAACCCCAGATTCTATGAGTCTAGTCGTAGCCCTTAAGCCACTGGCCCCACTGGTTCTGTTAGGACCAAGAGCCATCGGAGGTGAACAGTGGAGTCGCACACAAGGGGTGCCCACCATTGGTGGGCGTACATTTAAGCTCTTCATGATTGGCTGATGCTGAGATCATCCTTCCAATAGCAGCTAGCTTAAGGGCTGCGACTAGACTCAAAGAATCTGGGGTTACAATACGTAACCAACGTTCCTCTCACTATGGATATCAAAGCTAACAAACAGGTTGAATTTAACCACTCACTAACTAAACCCACCTTTCTTTGAGAAAAACTGTGTGACATACTGCTGCCCTCTCTTCTGCCTGTCCTCTTTCTCCTTTCTTTCTTTCCTTTTCCGTGATCCAGACATATTTTCACTGCAGCCTCTGCTGTCTGACTGCTGCGTGAAGCTGGCCTCGCCTGCTACGCGCCCCTTGGCCAGGTGGACTGTACCATTTTATGCCGTTGGGGGGGGGGGGGGGGGGGGGTTCAAATTAATTAGTCAAAATAAAGTAGGGACCTCTGAATAAATATACATTTCATAAAGACTAAAAGATTGTTTGTTTGATGTCTTAAATGAGCAAAAATACTGCAAAGTAAAGTACTTGTGATTTTTAAACTTTATTTATTTTTTATTCAACTTTGAAACTTTTTTGGGCCCCTGATGTCAGATTGGTCAGCTGGATACGGGAGTTGAGCTTGTGGAGAGCGTTGTCTCACAGACGCGGAAGTGATAGCGTTGGTGAAACGCCGGCTCTCGGTTTAATCCCGAGAGACGTGCTTCAGCCCCCACTTCGCTACTGGGTGGAACGAAGGTCTTCCTGAGGGCGGCCACAAAAGCAGCATAGTCTTTGCAGGCAGGGGATTTAGAATTATAAAGAGCAGCGGCCCACTCCTGAGCGCGTCCAGAAAGCAGGGAGGTGAGGTGCGCAACCCGAGAGCGGGCAGTGGGGAAGCGTCCCGGTTGGCACTCGAATTGCATATCAAGGGAGGCGAGCAGACCATCTGGGCTCCCAACCTCTCCATTCCACCTCTCCGGTAGGCTGAACTGCGGCTCCTCCTTAGGTGGAGAGAGGACTTGCTGCCGGAGAGCATTCAGGGATGTGGTCAACTGAAGGGTGAGGTCGGTCAGGGAGTTCACCTTCGTGTTGAGCCGATCGACAAAGGCGTGGAGCTGAACTATCCCCTTCTTCATTTGCTCAAACTCTGCTGGGTTGATGGACTCAGTCATCCTGTCAGACTGGTCGGCTGGATACGGGAGTTGAGCTTGTAGAGAGCGTTGTCTCACAGACGCGGAAGTGATAGCGTCGTTGAAACGCCGGCTCTCGGTTTAATCTAGGAATCCCCGAGCGTTCGAGGATCAATGAAGTGACACGGAAATGCTGGGTTTTCCCGAAGTAAGAAAGAACATTTACTGTGAGCTGAGAGTTCGTACGATGGATCGGTTGCTTGGAAACTCTTATCATAGATCTGAAGAAACAATGACTGAGTGGTGAGCTGGGGAGGCGACTTCCGTATATAGTCACGGTTCGTGACGTAGGTGCGATGTGGAGGGAATCCCTGCGAGGGGCATGCTGGGAGTTGTACTCCATGGTGGATGCCGGCTAGCTGGGAGAGGTTGGTTTGGGGACTTGGGTTCTGACAGGACCCCCCCATCCAGGGACGGCTCCTGAAGTCCCAGGGCGGCCCCGGCGGTTCCAGAAGTCAGAGATCAGGGCATGGTCCAGGATGGAGCGGGCCGGTTCCCAGGAGCGTTCCTCTGGGCCGTAGTCCTCCCAGTCCATGAGGTACTGCCATCCGCGACCCCTGCGACGGATGTCCAGGATGCGCCAGATGTTGTAGATGGGCTTACTGTTGAGGAAGCGGGCAGGCGGAGGCGCCGGAGGCGGAAGCAGGGAGGATTCCACATAGGGCTTGAGTCGGGAGATGTGGAAGGTGGGATGAATGCAGAGAGTTGTCGGTAACCGCAGCCGGTACGAGACTGGGTTCATGACCTTCTGTATTGTGTAAGGCCCGAGGAACCAGGGAGCGAGCTTTTTGGACCCTGCACGGAAGCGGAGGTCCGCGGTGGACACCCAGACCTTAACCCCAGGGACATAGGAGGGACAAGGACGGTGTCGGCGGAGATGTTGGCGAGCGTAACGGCCGTTGACTCGGGTGATGGAAGCTCGTGCTTTGATCCAGGCATTCTTGCAGCGCCTCACTAGGGATTGCGCAGCAGGTACAGCAACTTCGGGCTGCTGGTGGGCGAAGACCGGAGGTTGATAGCCATAGCAGACCTCGAAAGGGAACATATGAGTGGTTGAAGAGGTGTGAAGGTTGTGGGACAGCTCTGCCCAGAGGAGGTTGTTTAGGCCATTGCGAGGGTTGGGCCGAGACAAAGCACCGGAGGTACCAACCTAGCTGTTGGTTAGCCCGCTCTGTCTGATCATTGGTCCGCGGGTGATAGCCTGAGGATAGGCTGACCGATGCTCACTGTCAGGGACCGAGCAGTAAAACTCCAGGACAATGGTATAAAAAGAATATCTTCTCCATTTATTTCATAAAGAATTAAACAAAATCAAAACAAAACCGGGCCCAAAGGAAAAAATGGCCACAAAAATAACCTTAACTAAAAGTAACAAGCAATACTCTCAAACTGAGACACACAGGGGAATTTATACACACAGGCTAGCCTACAGACAACGAGGGGGGGAGAGACAGGGGAAACACTAAGACAAACAGTAAATAAACCTAGGAAACTAAGTCAACAAAGTAGAACTACCACAAAAAAGCTTTAACTAATACATCCTAACAAAATCTGGTAAACTCAATAGAGCTTCAGAACGTCTGGTTTCTGGTTTCTTCATTATCAAGCTCCCTGCTTCCAGGAGCCAGATGGAATGTTCCACTTCCTGCATGGAGTTACACTGGGTGTGTCCCCTCTCTCTGCCAGTTCATCCAATCTCAGAATACAAATGATGATAGTTAATGATCAAAAAAACTATGTGCAAGATAAATTACTAAATGTGTGCACCCATTAGTAAACTTACAATATTGCAACAAAATGAAATAATAAACCAGCGTGTGGAAAAAAGATATTTAAATAATACTGACACTGAGAAATGGCTGGAGGAACCTCCACACACTCCCCCTCCTCTGGAAACTCCATGGGCCAGCTGGACAGGTAGTCAGCAGTGGAGTTTTGCTTCCCAGGTATATGATGAATCTCAAACTGGAAGGCTTGCATCGCCAGGTACCAGCGAGTTATTCTGCTGTTCGAGTCCTTCATCCTCTCAAGCCACTTTAGAGCCTTGTGGTCCATTTCTAGGATGAATCTTCTCCCCAACAGGTAGTATTTGAATGAATCCAAAGCCCACTTAACAGCCAGGCACTCCTTTTCTACTGTTGAGTAGCGGGTTTCCCTTGGGAAAAGTTTCCTGCTTATGAAAGCAATCGGATGTCGTCTGTCTGGAGGCCCTTGAAGCAACACAGCCCCTAGGCCACGATCAGATGCGTCCGTCTGCAAAACAAATAGTTGTTTGAAGTCTGGACAATGTAACACTGGAGGTCCACTTAAGGCATGTTGGATGTCCTCAAATGCCATCTTCGCTTCGTCTGACCACTCGAGCTGGTTAGATCCTTTGAGGCTGGTCAGATCTGTAAGCAGAGCAGCTCTGGCAGAGAAATTAGGGATGAATATATGGTACCAACCCGACATGCCCAGAAATGATCTCAGTTGCTTTCTGGTTTGTGGCAAAGGGCATGACTGAATGGCTTGAACCTTTTCAATCTGAGGCTTAATGACTCCATTGCCAATAATGTGTCCCAGGTATTGTACTTCCTTCTTCGCCAGCATGCATTTAGCTGCATTCACAGTCAGACCTGCAGTGTGAAGACACTCAAACACAACTGTGAGATGTTCAAGATGTTCCTCCCAGCTGTTACTGTAGATGACAATATCATCCAAGTAGGCAGATGCAAAGTGAGATTTTCCTTCCAATACCTTGTCCATAAGTCTCTGGAACGTTGCAGGTGCTCCATGCAGCCCAAACGGCATGACTGTAAACTGGTAAAGGCCCCAGGGTGTTCTGAAGGCAGTCAGCTCACGGGATCTAGTGGCAAGAGGAACCTGCCAATAACCCTTGGAGAGATCAATGGTGGTAAGATATTTTGCTCTGCCAAGACAACCAATTAGGTCATCAATACGAGGAGTTGGGTAAGAATCAAATTTAGAAACAGAGTTCAGGTATCGGAAGTCTATACAGAACCTCAAGGTGCCATCTTTTTTCAGTACCAGGACAACAGGATTGCACCATTCACTCTGGGAGTTCTCAATAATTCCCAGAGAAAGCATCAACTCAATTTCCTCCTTTAAAGGCCCCAAGAGGCGCTCAGGGATCCTGTAGCTCCTTCGTTTTACCACTGCATCTCCTTTCAAAAGAATTTCATGTTTGATATAGTCTGTACACCCAGGATTATCTTGAAAAATATTGGCATTACAGATGGCCCTCACCTGTGACTGCTGCTCAGGGGACAGATGGCTCAGGTCAAGCCCAGAAGTCACCTGTAGAGGGAGGTATTGTTCTTCCACCTCCTCTTCTGTCACACTTCTGATGAGAAAAACATCTTGTTTCTCCCTTTCCTCAGACCTTGAAATCCACTCCTTCAGGAGATTAATGTGGAGGACTCTTGTACTACGCCTCTCACCTGGACTACAGACTTTATAGGTCGTGGGACCGAGCTTTTGAATGTCCTTGCCACTGAGCCAAAAGCTGTCTTCAGTGGGTAGTAGAACCAAAACTTTTTGACCTGGTTCAAAATGCCGCTCTCGAGCAGTTCTGTCATACCAGGTTTTTTGTTTTTGCTGGGAGACCTTCATATGCTCCTGAGCCAAGGTGGTCATCTTCTCCAGCTTGTCCCTCATCTGGAGAACATATGAAACTATGTTAACAGGCTCCTTTCCAGATTTCTCCTTCTCCCACCTTTCCTTTAAAAGCGCCAGTGGTCCTCGCACGTCATGCCCAAAGAGCAACTCAAAGGGGGAAAACCCAGTAGAAGCTTGGGGAATCTCTCGATAGGCAAACAAAAGGTATGGGAGCCACTGATCCCAATCAGACCTTTATTCATTGATGAACTTACGAAGCATGTTTTTAAGGGTCTGGTTAAATCTCTCTGTAAGGCCATCAGTTTGTGGATGATATGGCGTTGTTCTCAGCCTACTAATACCAATCAGCTTGTACACATCCTTGAGCAACTTGGACATGAAATTGGTCCCTTGATCTGTCAATATTTCTTTAGGGAACCCAACTCGTGCAAAAAACTGAACCAGACAAAATGCAACAGTCTTGGCTTTAACAGACTTCAACGGAAACACTTCTGGATATTTTGTGGCATAATCAGTAATAACCAACATAAATCGGTTACCTGATTTGCTTTTCTCCACTGGGCCCACAACGTCCATCCCCAAACGTTCAAATGGTGTCATTATGATGAGAAGAGGCTGTAGGGGAGCTCTTGCTGCGAATCGGGCTGATGTTTTTTGACACTGAGGGCAACTCCTGCAAAAACTGGCAACATCTCTGTACAATCCCGGCCAGTAGAAATACTGTTGGATACGGGCTAAGGTCTTATTTTTCCCTAGGTGGCCAGCCCAAGGAATTGAATGGCCCAAAGATAAAACAGTTTCTCTGGCTGCTCTAGGTACCACAAGCTGTTTCAGTTCTCCATGTTGTCTATAAAGGATGCCATTTTGCAAACAGAATTCCTTTGCAGTCCCACCTTCTTCAGCTCCCTTAATAAGGTCAGCCAAGCCTGCATCCTGATGCTGCAGCTCAAGAATGTTGTCAGGAATTTCAAATCTTAGCTGTACCTCAGGTTCAGGTAACAGAGTGGACACTGTTGTGTTTTTAAATTTGTCCCGTTTGCGCTGCCTACGAGACTTTTGTTCTCTAGTTGGGCCAGCTTCAATCTCAGCCCCAAAAAATGGTAAAGCTCTTAAACTGCGATCATCTTCCCTTGGAGCTTTCAACTGAGACCGTGTTATTGCCACATTGCACATTTTAGGATCGTTAATCAAGTCAGTGAGAACTGGTAAATCATTCCCCAAGACAACAGGAAATGGTAATCTGTCCATGACACCCACATTTAATAGGTACACATGTCCTTGCACTTTCATATAGACGTCCGCTGTTGGATATTGTTTTTCATCACCATGCACACAGCAGATTGGTATTGTTTCAGAAGTGCAGATGTGAGCTGGTGAGACGTACCTGCGATGAACCAGTGACTGGGTGCTTCCTGTGTCAATCAGAGCCTTAACTTTCTGTCCATCTATCTCCACTGTGGTCTCCACCAACAGCTGGTTCATTGGGTTTGGGGCATGGTTCCCTCTGGGCACAAAATACATCTGGGAGAGTTTAGCTGGATTTTGTGGACACACCGGTTTTGTGTGGCCTTCTTTCCCACACAAATAACAGACAGGTTTCCGCCCCAGATTTTTTGTTTGACTGGGAAAATATTTCTCCCTTCCACATGGCTTACCAACATTCTCTGTCGGACTGGTGTTACCTGGCGCAGGGGTATAATCCTTTTTCATAGCCTTATAAGCCCATGATTGGTTCCTTCGACGGGCTGCCACAAACGCATCTGCCAAAGAAACTGCCTCTGCTGCGTCCCTTGGATTACGCTCCTTGATCCAAACTTGGAGTTCTGGCGATAGCATTCGGAAATACTGTTCAAGGATTATTGTTTCATTAATTTCATCAATGGTCTTACCTCTGGGTCTGACCCATCTCCCATAGAGCTCCTTTAGTCTCACAAAGAGTTCTCTGGGGGACTCATTTGGTTCAACTTGAAGAGAACGGAACCTCAGACGATAAGTCTCACTGCTTATTTCATATTTCTGCAAAATAGCAGCTTTAACATGATCATAGTCCATTGATGCATCCACATCCATATGTACATAAGCACTTCTGGCTTTACCCGTCAATAGTGGAATCAAATGGAATGCCCAGTCAGATCTCGGCCATCTACATGCACATGCTATTCTTTCAAAAGTTATAAGAAAATGCTCAATGTCATCCTCTTCACATAGCTTTTGCAATCTTGGTTCTTTATCGGAAGGATGAACAGAAACTGAGTCACCTGATTTTGAACAGCGTGGTGCAGGCTCCGGTTCCACCTCATCCCAATCAGCATACTCATGAGGCCTCTCATGGTCTGCAGGCCCCAAACCTGCAGAGAAGCAGGCGTGGTCTTGCTCTCCAGGTAGCAAGCCAGCAGAGGTCTGGGCCTGAAACTCTTGCTGAAACAGACTGAACTGGTGTTGAAGATCTTTAAATCTTTGATCCTGGCGTACAATCACCTTCTCCCACTGTACCTCATGGGCTTCCTGTCGTCCAATGTGAGCTTGAAGGATGCCAGCCAGGTCTGATATTTTTGGCTCTCTGCCATGAACTTCCTCTTCAGCAGAAGCTCCACAGCCCTCACTCCCATCCTCTGTCTGTGCTTCTCTCTCTAAAGGGGCTGACTTGATTTTACCAGATTTGGTTCCCTTCATTGTAGATTCGTCAGGATAAAAGAAGAGAAAAAAAATTTGGGAGAATCTATTTACCAATGTCCTTTAACTGGAAGATCCCACCTCTGCCACCAACTGTCAGGGACCGAGCAGTAAAACTCCTCCATAGCTCTGGTTTCAGAGGGAGAGAGAGAGAAAAGGTGCCCACGGGGAGGACTGGTACCTGGTTGTAGCCTGATCTCCATGTCATATGGGCGGTGAGGCAGCAGTGTGGTGGCGCGTCGCTTATCGAAGACTGCAGCCAGGTCTCAATAGGGTAGTGGCGGATTGGGCGGTAGAGGACCAAGACCACCAGCCGGGCGGTCTGCCATGGACGGAGGAGGAGAGAGGTGGGCCTGGCACTGGGTCCCCCAGCCTAAAAGGCGGTTCTGGGACCAGGGAATCTGGGGGTCGTGGAGACGGAGCCAGGGGAACCCCAAGATTAGAGGAGAGGAGGGAGCAGAGATGATGAGAAAGTGGAGGGTTTCCCAGTGGCCTTGGAGGACCATCTGGAGAGACTGGGTTCGGTCTTGGACAGGATAGGGCTGGGGAGGTCTGCCGTCCACCGAGGCCACCGGAACAACTCATTCCAGGGGAGTCAGGGGGATCCGTAGGCGTTTAGCCAGATCCACATCCATGAAGTTGCCGGCGGCCCCCGAGTCCACCAGAGCATGTACCTGATGTGAGGTCTCATCGTGTAGGAGGGTGACAGGAAGGAGGAGTCAGTGGGAAGAGGTAGAGGCAGAGGGTGACCCGGGCTGAGCTACCCCGATACTCAGTGGGTTCCTCCGTTTCCCGGCCGTAATGGGCAGTCCAGGCGCCGGTGGTCGGGAGAGCCACAATAGGCACAGAGACCCTCGCACCACCGTCGCTGTCTCTCCTCCGGGGGAAGGTGGCCTAGCTGCATAGGCTCCTCAGTAGAAGTGGGTCTGGAAGCTGGAGTTGGTGAACGAGGAAGAGGTCCGTGCACTCTGAGTGGGCGAGTGGATGATCTGGCTCGAACCAGAACCTGCTGGTCGATGCACAAAGCCAGGTCGGCAATCTCATCCAGGGTCTGGGGTAGTTCTCTTCCCACCATCTCGTCTCGGATGTAGGGCGCCAACCCCTCCAAAAAAACAGCTCGAAGGGCAGAGTCATCCCACTGTAGTTTGGCCGCGATGGTGCAAAACTCTGACGCATAGGCGCACACAGAGCATTCACGTTGGCGGAGCTTTAAGAGACGTGCTTCAGCCCCCACTTCGCTACTGGGTAAATCGAAGGTCTTCCTGAGGGCGGCCACAAAAGCAGCATAGTCATTGCAGGCAGGGGATTTAGAATTATAAAGAGCAGCGGCCCACTCCTGAGCGCGTCCAGAAAGCAGGGAGGTGAGGTGCACAACCCGAGAGCGGGCAGTGGGGAAGCGTCCCAGTTGGCACTCGAATTGCATATCGAGGGAGGTGAGCAGACCATCTGGGCTCCCAACCTCTCCATTCCACCTCTCCGGTAGGCTGAACTGCGGCTCCTCCTTAGGTGGAGCGAGGGCTTGCTGCCGGAGAGCATTGAGGGATGTGGTCAACTGAAGGGTGAGGTCGGTCAGGGAGTTCACCTTGGTGTTGAGCCGATCGACCAAGGCGTGGAGCTGAACTATCTCCTTCTTCATTTGCTCAAACTCCGCTGGGTTAACGGACTCAGTCATCCTGTCAGACTGGTCGGCTGGATACGGGAGTTGAGCTTGTAGAGAGCGTTGTCTCACAGACGCTGAAGTGATAGCGTCGGTGAAACGCCGGCTCTCGGTTTAATCTAGGAATCCCCGAGCGTTCGAGCGTCAATGAAGTGACACGGAACCACACACACACTTACAACCACAATCCCTACGCACACGCACATCAAAAGTGAATGATTCTACATTTTATATATCCATAAGGGTTGTAACTCTAATACACAGTGTTAATTGTACAATTGTTTGTGTCCTGAGCAGTTTATAAATTTAATTTTGAAAAATATCATCTTTAGAACCTCACAACTTCATCACAGACACAAGTGTGTGGACCCCCTGCAAATCTTGTGGAGAACCCATTAGGGTGCCAGGTACCCAGGGTTGGGAAACACTGCTATATATGGTTTAATGGAAATAGAAGCCGTTTACTGTTTGCCCCTCTACTCATTTATTTGGTAGTACCTATGTAAAAAAAGATCCATTCCATCGGTATGTGACATGAGAAGATCTAAACACGTGTACTGATAATACCAATGATGTAAATTTTAACTGATCATTTGTAGTAAAGATTAACAGTTATGGCATGAAATTGATCACAAATATTGTAATGAAGTGCTCTGTAACAAAGGTTATGTGGATGCATTTCTTTGTCCTTGTTAGATTCAACGTGGAAGTTGTTCAACATGGTTTCACACGCTCTGCCTTGGAATGACTGCCTTCCAGATGTCAAGCAAAAAGACACCTTGGTGTTGTGACATGTGCAAACAGCAGCATGTAAACAACATGTAGGTGTTTGGTTGGAAGTGTGAACATGGAGTTGTACTGGACAAGACAGCACAGCTTCAAATTTATGAGCCGAGGACTTGATTGTCCTTTGTTTACATAAGAATGATGATGCACATTAAGGAAAGCAGCGCAAACGTTTCTTTCATATGCAAAGTACTTGTATTTTGGAATGGATAATTTATTGTTTACAATTAGTGTCATTGTTCTCTATGTCACTTTTTTACTCATATCTGTCAAGTACTTGTATGTGTGTGAGGGAGGCCTATATGCGGGTCTTTGTTTTGTAAGTCTTAACACTGAGGTGTACTCTACACCACAGCATGACTGAAATGTTGTGAGACTATTACTTTACTCTGTCTACATCATCTGTTTACATAAGCATGATGATGGATATACTGACTGTCCCACAAACTAGGTACAGGTCTAGAGGTGACCGGGCTTTCTCGGTCTTGGCTCCTTCTCTCTGGAATGAGCTTCCACTTGATATTAAACTGTCACCGTCGCTGCATGTTTTTAAGAGTCGTTCGAAAACTCATTTTTATCGTTTAGCTTTTATGTGACTTGTATGCTTTTATGCTCCCTGTTTACATTTTGTATGGTGCTTTTATGTCTGTATGTTGTTTTTATCTCTTTTTTATTCTATCTGTGTTTTTACTGTATTTTATGTTCAGCGCCTTGGGCTCCTGCAAAGGCAGTGGAAGGTGCTGTACAAATAAAGATTGATTGATGATGCACATTATGGAAAACAGTTTTCACTTTTGATTCATAAGCAACGTATTACTATTTTGGGAGAGTTGAGTTTATATTTTAAATCTTTTTCATTGTTCAGTCAACTATTTGTGTGTGTGTGTGTGTGTGTGTGTGTGTGTGTGTGTGTGTGTGTGTGTGTGTGTGTGTGTGTGTGTGTGTGTGTGTGTGTGTGTGGGTGTGTGTGTGTGTGTGTGTGTGTGTGTGTAGTACATTTTAGTGTATGGTGCCTTTTCAGTTGACATATTTGATTTGTGATTTGTTTTTGGAGAAGCAGAGATGAGCAGGTGCATTGTTTTGATCAAATTATTTAACCTCGTAAAAACGTTCATATGCAAATGACCAAGTGTTAATGATCGAAAAATAAAAACTTTGACTGTTAAATTTTGAAAGTATTGATAAAGAGTACTAGGAAATTGGCTATCAGCAGGGGCCATTTGTGTGTCACTACAGTTTACAGTAAAATAAATGAAAAATCAGAGATGTATTTTTTTCACAAACGTACTTGTTGGAGTATGTAGAGCCGGTTACTGTTGACCAGCAGGCATGATTTTGTGACAACAACTTTTACAGTGTAGGAGCTACAAACATTTCAATGATTTAAAAATTCAACAAAAATCAGACAAGTATGTTTTCTAAAAAGTAAATGCTGTAAATGCACAGTTAGAGATTATTTTTTAAATATTCTGCAGAAAAAATACCGAGGTCCAGACCTCAATGTCCTCAATGGTAGATACGGCCATGGTGGTGTCTAGTAGTGGGTAAATGTTTTGTTTTTACTCACGCAGCTCTACACAGATTTCCATGGGATCAGAAATCAAACCTGCAACACTCCTTTTATTGACTGGACCTGTAGGGTACAGGGTAGGGTACAGGGTCCTAACAGCCCGTACCCTCTGGGGGGTACTTCAGGATTATGGGGTACCAGGCCCTCTGATACGGGCTGTTAGGACCCTGTACGACTGGTGTCAGAGCTCGGTCCGCATTGCCGGCAGTTAGTCGAGCTCATTTCTGGTGAGAGTTGGCTGCCCTGATGCCACTGGGTTTGTACTAGGGATGTGACAAAATATCGTTTGGCCAAAACTCGCGATACAAAATGTGACGAAATGCATCGAGGTAAAAAAATATGGACCACGAAATTAGGCTAGTCGGCACTGCTGCATGATTTGTGTAGTAGTAGGGCAGGCCTACAGTCTATGGTGACAGGCTGATAGCACCATCTCTGCTGATAAAGCAGGGTAAAACTAAACAAAATAAAATAAATTAAAAAAACATCCGGGGAACGGTGCAGTGC